TGTGTGTGTGAGTGGGTTGTTGAGAGAGAGAGAGAAGCAGCTGCGGCCAGGTGCAGGTTTGCTTCAGAAGAGATGGCTGCCTGGGAGGCCTGCTGGCAGCAGGAGGGGCTTTGGGCTGGAAACAAGCGTGGTTGGCAGGGTGGCCCCCAGGCACTGGGCCACCGGTGGGCAGTGCTCTTCACCAAATGTGCTGTTTTGTTTTAAATACCATCTCCACCAACGCCCCTTCCCCCACAAAACACAACATCGCAGTGTTTGCTTTGAGAGGGGAACCGTGCCTCTTGGCCAACAGACCCAATCGGCAGCTTGGCGGGGCCTTTCCCTGAGCGTGCGAGGCAGCTTCCTCTCAGCGGGGCGAGGCTGCTCAGCGAGAGGCTGCCCAGCTCTGCCGGGTACTTGACTTTTTTCATGGGGGCAAAAAATATCATCTTGATTCTTCACACGCCACAGATCCCAAATGCCAAATATTTGCTGTCTGCCCTGATCTTTCCATCTCAGGTAGGGGTGGCAGAGTTCTGGCTGATGGGTGGGCCTAAAGGAAAGCTCTCTAAGTGGGGGTCACCTTGGGAGTCAGCTTGTGCCTTCGCCCAGGCAGGTCTGCAGGATGTGTTGGGAGATCACGGAGGGTCGCCTAGGGACTAGGGGAGAAAAATGAAGGAAAGCATCCCAAAAGCTTCTCTTACAACCCTCGATGCTATCAGGTCAATGTCAACTTACAGTGACCTCGTGTTTATGGGAGAAAAAATGCCCTGTCTTTCTCCCTCGGAGTGGCTGGTGGATCCAAGCTGCCGACTTTGGGGATCACAGCCCAACACATAGCCACCACACATCAGCTTCAGAGCACCCCACATCCCCTCTCTCAGGATGGGGAGGCTATGGGTTTAGAGCAGGAAGAGAGGGGCTGAGAAAGGGCCAAGCGTGGGCTTTCTTCGAGAGGCCTACAAGCCTCCCAGGCAGCAGACACGGAGGATCCGGGACCCAGACAAAACGCTTCAAGGGGCACCTTCTCCTAAATACTCATCGACACCAGCTCTTTTCTCCTACATGTTGTTGTTGCTAGTTGCCACTGTGTCCATTCCAATTCATAGCCTCCTCCCGTGGGCAGAGTGGAACTATGCCATGTGGTTCTCTAAAGGGGCCCTGGTGATGCAGTGGGTTATAAAGTCTGCAGTTCGAACCACCAGCAGCTTCTTGGGAGAAAGATGAAGCTTTCTGTTCTGTAAAGATTTAGAGCCTCAGAAACGCACAGGGGTAATTCTACTGTGCCCTATAGGGTTGCTATGAGTCAGAATTGCCTTAACGGCAAGTGTTTGTCTCTCGCTCTCTCTTTTTTTCCCCTTCAGTTCTTGGAAGTAGATCCCCAGGCCTTATTTCTGAGCGGTGACTGGGTGAATTTGAAACACCAACTAGTAGTCCAGCACCACTCCGGGACTCCATCATACACTGTATGTGCTACTGAGTTCATTCTGCATCTTAGGGACCACACGTAACAGAGTAGAATTGCCCCACAGAGTTTCCTAGGCTGTAACCTTTATGGGAAGGAAACTCAGTGATGCTGTGGCTCAGGTGTTGTTAGGTTGGCGGTTCAAACCCACCAGTGGTTCAATAGGAGAGAGATGAAGCTGCCATCTCCCATGAAGATTTAGTCTTGGAAACACTGTAGGGCCATTGTGCTAGCTTAATGATTTTATGTCAACTAGACACTCCTGGCTAGGGGTGGAATCCAACCTGCCAATCAGGTCACAGTCTGATGTTGTCCCTTGGGGGTGTGACGTTCTTAGAAGGAGGACCCTGGGAGAGAGAAGGGACCCCTTATACCTCTCCCCTTTCACTCATTGCCACTGACCCTGAAACTGCTGTAGCCCCCCCCCCCCATCTGTCCACCGACCTTGGATCCCCGAGACTGCACCCACTGGCTTGTGATCTTCCTGTGGTCTGTCATTGCATGAGTCTGAAGAGGGACTTATGGACTCACACTGGACTTATGGACTCACATTGACTGGGCTGCTTTCTTGATATATAGTACTTTTTACCACAGACAGGAGCATCCCTGACTTTGTTTCTCTAGTCAACCCGGCCTACCACAGTCACTGTGAGTCAGAATCGGCTTGGTGGCAGCGAGTTTGGTTTGAGTCTTATATGCGGCGTCAATGGCAGTGGGTTTGAGAGTTGAATCATTATAGGAGCAGATTGACAGTTCTTGTCTCCTGTGGCTCTATTGGTGGGTTTGAACTTACCTTCTGGTTAGCAGTAGAGCACTTAACCAATGCACCGCCAGGGTTCCTTCTCCCACGTATAGAAGGCTAGGCTTGCTTTACTGTGCTCCAGAGAGGTAGGACTCTATAGCACTGACACCCTCCTCCTATGTCCTCTTTTCAGCCCTGCCTGTCTATCACTCACTATATTAATAAAAGAGTGTATAGCATCTTAACATCCTCATTTCATCTTTAATGTCTGGAGCATTGTGACACCCACAGCCTATGACAAGATGTGGTCTCAGGCCTCTCCTGGGGCTTCTGGAAACCCGCAGCCGGGGGCCAGCTGACTGGGGAGTGTCCAGCTTCATAGATGTGGTAGCTAAGATCAGGAGTTTGGTGGGTGAGGCTCCTCTCTGTCTGCCAAGGGAACTCCCTAGGGCTGATGATCATGGGTTTGCCTCATCCCAGGCAGTGCAAGAGATGGGGAGGCCATCAGAAAGCACAAACAGAGGTGTCCGAGGTCACAGAGGAAGGAGGAAGCCACAGTGAGACAGCAGTGTATTGGGAAGCAAGCTGGACTAGAAGTAGGAGCCCTGGGTTCTAGCCCCCCTGATGAGTTGTTAATCTTGGGCAAGTTGCTATGTTTACACTATGTTCTATTAAGGAGCCCTGGTGGCATAGTGGGTTGGTTACACATTGGACTACCGACTATAAGGTTCAAAGTTCCAAATCACCAGCCACTCCATGGAAGAAAGATGAGACTTTCTACTCTCATAAAGAGTTAGTCTTGGAAACCGTTGCTATGATTCAGAAATGACTTATTGGCAGTGTGTTTTATTTACTTATTTATTTAGACAGTCTATTAAGGGAAGTCCTAGTGGTGCTTTCAAGTTAAACATTGTACTGCTAACCGCGAGGTCAGTGGTTCAAACCACAGACCCTCCTCAGGAGAAAGATGTGGTTTTTCTGCTCCATTTTGGACTTTTCTGGGTGGTGTGTGTGTGTGTGTGTGTGTGTGGCTGGGGGGGGGCCTTAGTGAGTTCAAGGGCATTATTAAAATGCCCTTTGAAAAACTGTGAAAATTACTAAAATGTGACTCAGAGATACAAAACGAGCTCACACTGTTGGGGAAAGGGTGCCAATACACTTGCCTGACACAAGGTGACCACAACCCTTCCATTTGCATAAAATGAAATAAAATGCAGTGTGCCTGCTCTGGTTCAGACAAGGTTGGGAGATCCCAGTTCCACTTCTTCTGCCCGTCGCACCTTAGTCAACAACATCTGAGAGTATATGCACTTTAACCCTGGAGATGTGCTCAAAAGTCCCTTTCGATACGTGAATGAGGTGGTCACTTTTCCATTGCTAGGAGCATAAGCATCTATCTGTTGGGGATGCTATGGAAGGTCTCTAAAAGTCACGGGAGAGAGCATTCCAAAACCTCAGGTCTTCCCCTCCATCCACCCCATATAATGATCTAAAGCCTCTCTCCCGAACTCAGAATGAGTCTGAAGACCAAGCCGGCTTTCCTGGGCCCCAAGAAAAGCAAGCCCAGGAATGCCACATGCAACCAAGTTTGGTTTTTGCTTCCATCTAAGAACTGACTAAAGGTTCACTTTGGCGATGAGCACAGGACACTAGGGAGACCTCAGGTCTTGGCCCAGGCTTTCCCTTGCCATTTTGTCCTGAGGGGGTTTGAGGAACCCTAGGCTGTGGCTCAAAGGTTGGGGGGCTGGCAAGGCGCATGAGTATTCTCCCAGGAAGGGGCTAAAGTTTCTTGCGAAGAATCCAGGAGGTGAGGCCGGGGCTGCAGGCGACTTTGAGATTAGTCCTGTGAGCAGGGAGTCACAGGCTCACAGGTGGGGCTGGTGACCTCTTTGCGTCCTCAGAGGTTAAAAGCATCAGAAATCTCTCTGGGATTTAAATTGGTTTCTGAGGGATAGAGAAATGAGCAGCGAAAACAAGACGTTGTCAGCTTGCTCCATCCTCCCTTCCCTCGCCCCGTTGCTCTTAATTCCAGGGCCCTCTTCTCCCAAAAACTCTCTCAGGATGATCTGCAAGGTTGTCAGGCGACTCCTGAATTCCTTCCCTGAAACCTCCCCTTCTCTCAGCTTTGCCTGCAGGGTAAGGTGCCCATAAATCCTGGGCAGCCGCTGGGGGGCAGTCCCCAGGGTCTCACCCTCCCCACTCCCACCGCGGCCAGCCTGGGGCTTACCTTTCATGGTCCCTTCTGCTAGGGCCTCGGGAGGGACCCGCGGAGGGCGGCTTGGGCTGCGACTCTCTAGAAACTGGGACGCAGAGTGAAGTCCGAGGATCCTCTCCGGGCAACCGATCGCTGCCGGTTAAGCGTGGCCGGCGGGGGAGGGGCGCGACGCTGGGGTCATCCCCGGGTCCGGAGGCGGCGGGCTGTAGCCAGGGTCCCGCGGGCGTGGCCTCCTGGGGGCGCCCCCTCCGGGCCCCTAGCGCGGGGTGCCACCGTCCTGGGCGCGCATCCTGCCGCTCCAGCCCCTGCGCAGGCGCTCGCCTCCCGCTAGCTGCCCGCGATCCCCGGACTGATCCCCGGCCCCCTCGCCTCGCCTCCCTCCCTCGTCACTTCTTGGGCCCCGGCCCAGATCCACTTCCTTGGTATTTTCAAAACTGCCGCGGCGAGGCCTCTTTGTGCCGCCGCGGGTCCCTGCGGCCCGCCAGGGCCCGCCCCGTCCAGCCCCGCCGGCTCCGAGCGCCGCCCCTGGGCGCCCCGGGTTGGGGCTGGGGGCTTCGAGCCCGAGTCGCGCGGGTCGCGGAGCGCTCTTCCCTGCAGACGCCGGGTCTCGGGCTCCGAGCGCTGGCTGCCCTGCCCTGCTGCCACGCACCGCCTCCTGCCCGCGCCGCCCGACACTGGACCCCGGCAGCCAGTGTGCCAGGGCGGCGCTGGCTGCCTGCCTGGGGGACTGGCCCGGAAGGGTCTTAGAGCAATGATTTTCACCTGTGGAACCTCCGATTTTACCCCTGCATGTTGGTCTCCCCTAGAGATTGTCCTTGTTTTAGCACAGAAAAGCTCCTACGTCCTCCTGAGCAAATGGGGCGGCTCGGTCACTCTCTGGCTTCAAGAGCTTGGTTGGCCAGCGCTTCCTATCCCACACCTCAATTTTCCACCTGAGAGAATGAGGCAGGAAGCACTGCCCACTTCTATGATTAGGTTCATGAAGGGGCCTTTGGTCTAAAAACAAAAACAAACAAACAAGGCAGAGCTCTCAGGAGACATACATTTGAGAGAAACTATCTTCCTGGAAGGAGCTTTGAATGCTGTTATAAGCGCCCCCCAAGGACTCCCACAAGGTCGTTCTTCATTGATCGAACAAACACGCCGTGCGTGAGCATCTCCCATGTGCCACACTGTGCCCTGAGCTCTGGAAGTGTGAAGAACAAGTCAGACATGGCTCCTGTCCCCCCGTGGGACTTCAGTCTGGTGAGGAACGCCAACAATTAAACAAGAAATGGTACCTGCTCCCTCCAAACGTGGAATGAATGCTCTCCTGGAACGGCTGGGGCCCCATGAACAACCACTCCAAATGGAGCTGAAAGACAGAGAACTGAACTTATTAGGTGTTCGATCCCGGATAAATACACTCACCATAACCAGGACTGCCTCTGAATGTTTCCTTGATGCCAGCATGACAAGGCTTTAATATTTGGTTGTTCTCTTACCAATATGGACATACAAGTGGGAAATCACACAGACAGAAGGCACAGCAGCAGGGAGAATTATCTTCCTCTGGTTTCCCTGGCTCCTTTCTACACCCTGAAGCTTACCTCCTGTTGTCTGCACCTCACAGGGAGTGGGGGCCAGACATTTATTAGTTTATGAAAATTCCACTTAGCAGTTCAGGTTTCTAGTCTCAGGCTTGGCCATTTAGTGGTTACACACTGGTTACACACTGGGCAGCTAACTGCAAGGTCAGCGGGTTTGAAATCACCAGGTGCTCAGCAGGAGAAAGATGAGGTTGTCTACGCCCATAGTTACAGTCTCAGAAACCCACGGGGGTGGTCCCACCATGTCCCGTCGGACCTCTGGAGTCTGAATTGACACGATAGCAGTGAGTTTTTGTTGTTTGGATTTGGCTTTGAGTCTCTGGCATTAGCCAAAGTTGGCGGATCTGTGAAGACTGGACAGAGCTGACCTATATTATATGGGTTATGATTTGTGGTGTTGGACCCTCAGTACTGAGGTGGGATAAATAATATGGGAAAGTGCAGGGAGAAGCCACAAAAGGAGGGTAGTCCAGCCCAGGCTCTATTGATCTCTGTGATCAGCCCCTTCTCCACATCCCCACCCTACCCCCATTTGATTAAATATATGTCTTAGTCCAGTCCTCAAGGAACACAACAGAAACACAGTCACACAGTTGATTAAATAAATAGTGATTTACTTCCAGAGATTGGTTCCCACAATTGGGAGGTAGGGTGGGCAAGTCCGAAATCTGTAGGTAGTAGGTGGCAGGAGGCAGACTGGAAACTTCTTGTAGGCTCTCATCCCCAAATCCATAGGCCAGGTGACATGAAGAGCACAGATTAGAGAGAAAGAGGGAGTTCTGGTGAAACATCTACTTCTAACTGGAGGCAGACAGCATCTAAGGAAACTACCCTGGCAATTGATTTAGTGAGTACATTACATTTGATCATATTATGACGTCTGATTGCATTACATTATGGAATGGGAACTAGTCAAGTATTTGACCAACACCTGGGGACCGACCATAGACTAGCCAGCTGATTTAACGCACAAACTATCACAGTCAATGAGGCCCAAAGTAAAGAGACATTTATCCTAAGCCAAGGAGCAGAGAAAGGGCCAAGGATGATCTATCCCATTCATATTCTCAGCAGACTGGCATGGGTGATGTTCCATTATCTCTAATCTCATCTCCCCTGGCAATTCTCAGTTTACTGTTTGCAAGTTCATGTTCTCCATGGTCTGGCTGGACCATCACAACAGTCCATTGAGGAAGGGAGCTCAAGAGCCCTAAGGTCTATCGTATGGATATAAAGTCTTAGCTTCTTTCAGAAATGATGTTCCTAACCTGTTAGTGATCATATTCATACTTCTGTAACCTTGTGTCTGAACTCAGAGCTGGTCACATGGTACATGGCCCTGAGTCTCTAGGGCTTGAGACCTGGACCAAGATAACTGTTTTATAAATGCCTGGAGATATTCATATCAATGGAACCTTTACATAGAAGGTTCCCTTGGGTTCATTTACTAAAACACAAACAAACAAACAAGAAAACCCAGCACTGCTATTGAGACAATTCCAACTCATATCAATCTATTAGTTTAGACAAGTTGAAAATGGTAGACATCTCCAGGTACAGAAACTTTTAAATATAATCAAGAAATCTTTTCTTTCTAACCAAGTATTCACTTTGTTGGATTATTTATTTATCTTTTTGTTGTGAAATTGGGTGAAGGTTTTCAGAGCAAATCATCAGTTTCATGTTCAACAATTTGTCACATTTTGTTTGATCTCATTCAGTCCAATTCCCCCAATGAACCCTCGTTATCCTGCTTCTTCCCTGTGTTTTCTGTTTCCATTTTTTCTTATTTCCTATCCCTTTGAACTTTGTTCTAGGATAAATGCTACTGTTTTGATCTCAAATGCTTGCGTATTCTAAGGTGTCAGAACCTCGCTAGAGCTGGTGCTCCCCTTAGCAATCTGTGTATTGCCTTGGCTAAGGAGCTCCGTCAGGAAAGCGTTCTACTAACTGCAGAGTTGAGAGTTCAAACCGACCAGCTGCTCCGAGGGAGAAAGGTGCGGCTTTCTACCCCTGTAAAGATATACAACCTCAAAAAGCCAAAATCGGGTTGCTATGAGTCAGAATCAACTTAATGGCAGTGGATTTTTTGATTATTGTTTGGTTGAAAAATGAGTGAGTTCAGTTCTAGACCTGAAGAGAAAAGAAGGGCCACAGCTATGGGGTCTCCACCAGTCTCCATTTGATAGGAAAACTTAGTATCTTTTATGATTTGAGGACCCCCATTCCCACCCCATATTCTTTCTTATTTGATCCCTTTCAGAGCAATTGGTGATGGTATCTGGGTACCATCTAAGTTTTCTGGTCTCAGGGCTTTGGAGACTGATGTTCACATGATCCATCAGTCCCTTGGATGAATTGCTTCCATGTTTCCATACTTTTTCTTTCTTCCAAACAGGAAGCAACCAATAGCTGCACCTTAGATAACAACGTAAAAGCTTTCAAGACCCCAGTTGTTCCTCACCAAAGTAGGAAGGAGAACATTGTCTCTGTGGGCTGTGTGTGTCCATTAACCTGGATGTCCCGAGACTATGGGTTCAGCCCCCACCTCCAGGGACTCATTCCCATCAATGCGTATAATTATGTCTAAGCAGTTTTCATAACTTGGCCCCTGTGTGCACCACCACATTCATGGCTACATTTGCAGGAAGGGGACATGTATAAAGATCCTCTGTCAAACCTATATAGCTGTGAGTATACTCCCACCCCAACTTCCCACACCCATTTTGTCTGCGTGTCTAACCCGGCATCTAATTGTCGATCACAATGATTGCAGGTGCCATCGAGCAGGTTCTCATTCATAGTGACCCTGTGCACAACAGAATGAAGCACGGCTCAGTCCGCCACCATCTCCACAAGTTGTTCCATGCTTGAGCCCATTGGTGCAGCCACTGTGTGAATCCATATCCTTGGGGGCCTTCCTCTTTTTCGCTGTCCCTCCACTTTACCAAACACAATGTCCTTCTCCAGGGCCTGGTCACTCCTGGCACAATGTCCAAAGAATGTGAGATTAAGCCTCACCATCGTTGCCTCTAAGGAGCATTTTGGCTTTACTTTTTTCAAGACAGACTTGTTTGTCCTTTGGCAGTCCATGTACTTTTAATAGTCTTCTCCAGCACCACAATTTAAATGCATTGATTCTTCTTTGATCTTCCTTATTCAATGTCCAACTTTCTTTTTTTTAAATCATTTTATTGGGGGCTCATACCACTCTTATCACAATCCATACACACATCAATTGTGTAAAGCACATTTGTACATTCGTTGTCCTTATCATTCTCTCAATGTGCGACTTTCACATGCGCATGAGGCTATTGAAAATACCATAGCTTGGGCCAGGTGCACCTTAGTCCTCAAAATTACATCTTTGCTTCTCAGTACTCTAAAGAGCTCTTGTGCAGCAGATTGACCTAGTGCAACTTGTCTTTTGATCTCTTGACTGCTGCTTCCATGGCATTGATTATGGGCCCAAGGAAGACACGAACCGTGGCAATTTCAAGCTTTTCTACATTTATCACGATGTTCCCTGTTGGTCCAGTTGTACGGATTTTGGTCTTTTTTATGTTGAGTTGTAATCCATACTGAAGGCTGCAATGCTTGCTCTCCAGCAGCAAATGCTTCAGGCCTTCACTTTCAACAAGTAATTTGTGTCATCTGGATAT